CAGCGCTTCTCCAACTATCCTCCTTAGCTCGTTGAAGTCACCTTATCTCATAAAGATATTGCTGAATTGGGGGTAGATCTCAAAAGAAGGAGGAATGATTTGTGCCTGCTTAAAACTCTTGTATTAAGGGAGATTGAAAAGATGAGGACTGTTTAGTTTAGAAAGGAGATGAAGAGTACACACATAATACAAATAAATAGAATGGTGCCTGGTCTACAGTGACTGTTCTCTCTACCTCCTCACACAAGAACAAGGAGACTTTGAATCAATTAAGTAATGACTAAGTTTAAGCCTGATCAATGACATTTTTCACATACATGATTTACTGTGGTACTCCTTGGCTTTGAGATCACTACGTAGCAATAACTTGGCAAGGCATGTTGGACATCAGTTATGAATAACCAAATTATCCTGTCAGTGTTTCTTAGGGTGTGGACATATGGTGACTTGGAGCCCCTTTCAAAAGGGGAATGTTTCAGAAGGGCAGCTGCTGATGCATTCTAAATGTTATGACTGAGCAAGCTGAGAATGATTCAGGTGCAGCAGACCCACTCCAACATTAGCACTCCCTCCTCCTAGGTGAAAGTTGGAGTAGATTTGTTGCACTTCTGGCCTTCCTCTGGCTTCACATTCTACCTTGATGACACTAGACTGTATTGCCTTGTTCTGCTGTTATCAGCTGGTTAAATTTTCATTTGTTTCAGTTTAGGGGGAGCAGTTTGCTTTTTTAAAGTCAGCATCTAAATGTGCATGTTTTCTTTAGCTTCCCAGTGTAAACCCTACTGTGTCTGCCTCTGGAAATGAGAGCACCTTCTCCAACGCAGCAACAGGGACAGGACAGCTGGAGATGGATACTGGTCTTAAACCTGAGGCTGCAGATGGTAGAACTGAAGAGTCTGCAAAATCAGAGATGCCACCAACCAGTAACACCAGCGAAACAAAGACTAACAGGGCATTGTGTCCAGAAACGACCCCCTCATCTGCCTTGCACTGGCTTGCTGATTTAGCAACCCAGAAAGCAAAAGAAGAAACAAAAGGTAAGTAAAAGATCTATCCCATAGCCTTTTGCAGAAAAGAGTTGCAGTATTACCTTGGTGAGAGTCCCAGCTTGTTAAATGGAAAAGGGCGTGGTCCTTCCTCTTCACATCCCTCTTTGGATCCATTTTCTTTAGTAGGTTTAAAAGATGTGGAAAGTATCTCGAAATAACTTGCATGGAGGTGACCAAAGGGAGAGCATATAATTCCTAATCACATTTATACCATCTTAGTCTGCTGTTAGCTGTATCTTTTTTGGAAGGCTTTGTTGCACTGGTACGTGATGTCAAGTCTAATTTAACATTTATTTCTGGTATCGGTTAAGTAGCTTATGGAAACTGCTAAAATTGATGTTAGTGTCCTGCATGGGAAATGAAGAGTGGAATTTCTAGTCACTTAAATGTTCAAGGCAGGTTTTAGAAAAAAAAAAAACTCGGAATACACAACATCACTTCAGAAATATGTGTTTTTCAGGACACACCTGCAATAAAGGCGATTCAAGGTGGCCCCCATAAAGACTGTACTTAGGTAGAGTGAAGGTGTTGTAGCATGCAACCTTTTTTCATCACTATGAGTGATAGAAAGATTTTGTTAACATTTCCCAAACAGTCTTGTTCCTTCTTGTTGCTCACAAATGTTTTGCTAGTTCTAAAGGTCACATTCCCAGTAATAGTCCCTACTGTGTGTAAAATCTGCAGACAGTAATCTTAAAAGCTTTCATGGTGAAGGATTCGGAACTAACTTGGAAGGTGAGTGGGTCAGTTGGGGAGTTTGTTTCAAATAAGGTTGCAGTTCCTTGTAAATCAAATGTGTTTAAGTCAAAATTATCTTTTGTACTTCTCAAGGCCTTATCCCACAATGATAACAGCCTGTTGGTAACACCTCCCTGAAATGTACAATGTATAAATGTGTAGGACAGTGTATAAGAGCGTTTCATCGTGTATGCGTACATTCATAGATGCTAGGGTCCGAAGGGACCTCAACAGAGTGTAATACTATTCTTGAGTTGTAACATTTAGGTAAATGTTACAGGATAGTAACTGTGTTATATTGGACACTTGTCTCAGACCTTTCCTCGTTGTGGTCCTTCATCTCACCCAATTCTAATTTTTGCTTACAGAAGCAGGATCACTGCGGTCAGTGCTCAGTAAAGAATCCCACTCGCCCTTCGGATTGGATTCCTTCAATTCCAGTGCAAAGGTTTCCCCATTAACTCCAAAGCTGTTTAACAGCCTCCTGTTGGGCCCAGTTGCATCTAGCAACAAAACCGAAGGTTCGAGTCTCAGAGATTTGCTACATTCTGGACCAGGAAAACTGCCTCAGGTTCCATTAGACACAGGAATCCCATTTCCTCCAGTTTTCTCTGCAGCTTCAATGGTAAGTAGCATTGTCTTCCTGCAGATAGGTTATGCTCTGAGGTAAAATTCTTAGTAATTTAACAGCTTTCTTTGCATTCTAACAGCATTTTTTCTGGGCACTTGGTATAAACAAAGGCATTCATTTGATGGTGAAAAAATCTATAAAATAATTTGACACAATAGTTATTTATGGGGCTTAGTCCTTTGTTGTCATGAAAAAATTCTCCCTTTGGAGGGAAGTGGCCATTAGTTAGGCATAATATTAACTCCGACTCTTAAATTCCTTTTTGGTAATCTGTGCTGCCATGGAAGCTCAGTTGAGGAGCAGTCTGATTTTTTTTGGAAAGTCCTGCTTAAGATTAGCCTGCAAGCTGTTGCTGGTTAAGGGGACCCAGCTGTGGAACAGATTTTCAGAGATTGGGTGAATGTGAAGTAAGGCTGTCCTTAAAAAAAGATATGCTGAAAAATTCTCCTTTGAAAATACCCATCATAAGAATGATGCAACAACCACACGTGTCTTGCTTTGAAAGAAAAGGAAGTAAAAAGAGGAACCCCAAGAATCCTTACCTTAAAAACCCTAAGGCTTGCCCATGCTTAAAGTTGATTCTCTTTTAAGGTAGGGTGTGAATTTAAAAGACAGTGGCTGTTACTGAGTACTTTCAAACGTGAAACTCTTGTTCTGGAACAAGAATTCCTTGTTTAAATATAACTTAAGCCTCTTTAAGAAGTGGGCAAGCACTAACAGCATGAGCAATCTATAACAAAAAGCCCTTCCCTAAATAGAATCGTTACCTTCAGAAGTGCCACGGTCCATTGACTCCACTAGGGACTTGGCTATCACTGCGAGTTTTTTTGTTCTGTTTTCTTAATTATGGAAGGTGTTCGGATTCTGGTAAGGGATGGTGTTAAACTGGTATGGCATGCAGTGTGATCTAGTAAGAACAGCAAAAGCACCTTACTGGGTCAGACCAGTGGTCCATCTAGCCCTGTATCCTGTCTCCGACAATGGCAGAAGTAGATGATTTGGAGGGAGAGCATTGAACCAGGCGTACCTGATGTGAGCAGTCCCCCTGTTCATTACCCTGCCGGCATCTGTCATCATTGGTTTAGAGTAACCCTGCCTTGCTCTGATGTGTAGAGCAAGACATTTGAACTCTGAGCCAGGGCAGATGGAGTCTTAATAGTTTAGCTTGTATGGCACTGGCAAGAGGATTGAAACATACTACAAAGGGAAGCTTCGTTGTCACAGGAAAGCGAAACCAGTAGTTGTGACTCAGCTTTTAAGAGCTTCTGAAAATGTCATGGCCCTGAGAACATATATCCACAAACTAAAATGTAGATAACTGTGAAATGCCTTAAGGTAAAAGGAATTTCTTCTGTGGCTATGGAAAGAAAGTCCTCACACTTATATTCCCTACCCTTCCTAGCAACATGGCACAGTAAACCACAGGTTTTATCCTTTTTCTCCTTTCTCAGAACCTTGTCAGTTTTTGTTGCTGCTCCTTATCAAGATCAGTGACAAATTCATCAACAAAGATCCTTTGCTGCTTTTCTGACTCGAACATTAGGGTCAGAACTTCGTAAAAGTCTGGATTACTAGCATTTGAAGAGGAGGCATGCATAAGGTGGTGAAGTTATCTGTATTGGGATTTTCTTTATTAAAATTTACCACTTCTGCAGCATTTCAGTTTCACTGAACTCATTTGACCTCCAGAATTTTCAAGTGAATCAAACAATACGCCCAAATGACTTGCAGTGGAGCAGATAGCATCTTAGCAACCAGGGCACTGTCTTCTGTCTTAACTTGAGCACCATCAGTTCCTTAGCCACAAGCTCTCACTATACCTTTATTCCTGCTAGAAAGTACCATTTCTTACCAGAAGCAGTTTTATTGTTGAGGCACTTGTAGGCCTTGATCAAAACCAGCTTTTAATCTTCTGTCGTTTAAACTAACACTTGAGTATAAATCTCTCACTGTAAGGCATGTTTTTCAAGGCCTCAAAACACTTGTAGCTCTTCTCTTGAATCTCTTCCAAATTTTCAGTGTCCTTTGTGAGCTGTAGACAGCAGAACTGGGCACAATATTAAGTAACAGTCTCTATTATGCTGCATACAGAGGTAATGCTGCCTTCCTATTCCTGTGTGATCTACTCCTGCTTATATATTCAAGGATTGCTGTCTCCCTTTTAACAGAAACCAGAACACCAAAAGCAAGAGATCTTAACTGGTCTGATTCTGTTTAGTGCATAAAAAGCATTTAAGGGAACCAGGAAGAAATGAACAATTTTTTTGATGGAAACAAAACTGATGGTGGTAGGAGGGAACAGCTTCTGATATTGTGACATTGGTATTCATTTTTGTAGGCTTAGCAATTAATCTCGTTAGAATGCAGCAAGTTTTCCAAGCCTTAAGTCTGTAAACCACTGGCGGCGGCAGCAGACATGCTGTTGTCAGTACCCCCTCCCAACTGTGTACTGACTTGTGTACAAGGTCTTGTGATAACAGTTACCACGGTTGAAATACAAGAGAGTGTTGGGGCAGATGCATATTGCCCTTATGTAAACTTCTGTGAAAACTGAACTTGGCCTGTATATTTGTGTCTTTAGGGAGCCAAAGGTAAAGCCAGTCTGCCCAACTTCCTAGATCATATCATTGCTTCTGTGGTGGAAAATAAGAAGACATCTGATGCTGCAAAGCGAACAAGTAACTTGGCTGACACTCAGAGAGAGGTGAAGGAAATGGTAATGGGACTGAACGTTCTGGATCCACACACTTCTCATTCCTGGCTCTGTGATGGAAGGCTCCTTTGCCTTCATGATCCCAGCAACAAAAACAACTGGAAGATCTTCAGGGAGTGTTGGAAGCAGGGCCAGGTAAGTGAAAATGAATAGCCAGGTTGTAACACTGGAGCAGGTATTTTGGAGAATGAAAAAAAGCTTCCTCTATTCCTGCTCTGAATAGTCAATGACAACGTACAGTTCTGTGTTTAAAAAAAAAAAAAAAAAGGAAGGGATAAACTGAAGCTAATTTTGTGGCATTCCTATTTGCTGTATTTTAGAGAGACATTCCTTTCATCTAGGAGTGGATATAGTCTATCTAGAAGTACAGCCAGATATAGTTACATATGGCTAGTGGATCTCGGGGTGGGGGGGGTGTATATGGTGCTATATGGTACTAGACTTTCTTGTAAAGACACCTGAAAATGGCTTGGAACTGAATTTTGATTTTCTGACTTGGCTAATTTGCTTGATGTAATGGGGTTGTACTTTTATGCAAAAAGGAGCTGGTATCTGATGCCTTGCTTCTTTGGTGATGGCCAAGAAAATCCAGCTCCTGAGAATGAGAGAGATGTAGTTAAATTTGTAGGAAATTTGGCTAATAATGTAACGAGCCACCTGCCTTTCTTTTTGTTAGCCCGTGCTAGTTTCTGGAGTCCATAAGAAGTTGAAGTCAGAGCTGTGGAAACCAGAGGCCTTCAGTCTGGAGTTTGGAGACCAGGATGTTGATCTGGTGAACTGCAGAAACTGTGCCATAATTTCAGATGTGAAAGTGCGTGACTTCTGGGATGGCTTTGAAATAATTTCTAGTAAGTGCAGATTCATGGTAGAACAGCACATCTCATTCCTCTTATAATCCCTGTCACAGATACCACAGGTTATGTGTTCCAGTACCTATCCCTTGAGGTGTAAAGCCACAGCTGCTCCTTGTAAGGCTCACTAGAGAGTGACTTCTGGGTGGAGAAATTGTGAAGAATGAGGCTAGGCCAAAAGTAGCTTAGTACAGTCAGACTGCTTTGGAGCAGAGAACTCTTATTACAACAGTATTCAAAATAAATAAGTAGATGGTCTATACCACATGAGATTGGTAGTCTGATCTTTTCTCTCTCCTCCCCCTCTTGTTGTATTCATGACAAAGTTGAAGTTGGTTCTACATTTTGCTGTGATTGCAAGTCTTGCCACCTCCATGTTTTTATCCCCTGGTGACAACCTCCCAAAACCATGGTCATGCTGCAAAGAAAGCACTATTTGTAAGGATCAGTCTTGAGCAGTGGTGGGCAAAGTCTGGCCCTCCATATCCCATCAGCCCCTGCAGTGGCAGCTCCTTCTGGCAGCTACTACCAGACCGATCCCTGCTTCCCAGGCACCTTTGCCCATCTGCCCCATACCCACTGCCAGGCACACAGGCAGGACACGTGGCTGGGATGGCACTGCAGCCGGGAACAAGATGGGCAGGCGGGGCTAGGGAGACCCCGGGGGCTGGTGGGGGCTGGGCCCTGGACAGAGCTGCGATCCACTGCCCACCTGCCCTTGTAACGAGTGCAGGTTTTATGTGCAAGGGCGTGCAGAGAGCAGATTTAAGCTCTGCTGCGGCTCTGTGCCATCCCCGCCTCAAGTTCCTGGCCCCGGAGCAGCTCCCTGCCCAGCTGTGCACCCTGTCTGCGTGGCTCCCAGCTGGTCTCTGTGGAGAGTTGCACAGGCAGGGGCTGGTGGGAAATGGAGTCTGGCTGCTGGCCGGATCCGCTGTTTTGCCACCCTGGTCTTGAGGCTGACCGCTTCAGAGTACCAGAGGGGTGGAGTGGGTCATGGCATCTCATTCTAACAAGATGCTTTCTGAGGTCTTGGGCCAGGGTCCTGGAAGACTTTGAAGGTGGGTAGGATTAGATTAAGCAAGCAACTGAATGGTGGACTTGCTCAGGGCTGCCCAGCTTCCGGACAGTTGGAGACTGCATGCCATGCGAGTCTGCAGGGCTGGCGTCCCTCTGCCATGCAGGAGCCCAGCTCTCCCCCCACCCCCAAGTGGCTACGCACTCAGTGCAGGCAGTGCAAAGGAGTTGTTCCCTTTCTTTGCCACACGTGCAGCATGAGTGGTCCATGTGCCCTGGCTATGTGCGCAGCACAAGTGGTATAGTCCCTCCCTGGTTGCAGGCAGTGGGGAGGGGGATGTGCTGCTGAGCATGGGGGGCAAGGCTGGGGGAAGTAGGGAGTTCTTACTTGATTTGGAGTCTTTAAAAGAATCTCCGGCTGCTGCTTCCATGGTGTGGTTGGAAAGGGGAGTGCAGCTGCATCACTCCACCCCTCTGGATCTGCCTCTGAGTGACATATAAATTGAATAAATAAGGAAGTGGGGCCAGGTTTGTTTTTGGTTTGTTTGTTGTTGGGTTTTTTAAGTTTCTCTTACATTTGAGGCAAGATAGTAATTGGCCATAGTCAGTATTATCATAAGACATCTAGAAGGATAAATATGTAAAATCTCTCACCTACGGGCAAAAAAGGTAATTTGTCAGTGCTAAAGGCATGCTGTGCCATGGCTTGGCCTGAGCTCTGACTGGTAGGTTGGGTCCAGGATATAAGTGAAAGACAGATGTTTTGAAGTGGCTGTCAGCTAGTTTCTTGGATACTTCCTTGGGGAGGTCTGACAAATGAGCAGGATTTTGCAATGTCTTATAGATCCAAAGATGACTACTCGAGGCACCTGTAGTATATGGCCAAGCAGGCTAACAGCATATTGGGCGCATTAGTAGGAGCATTGCCAGCAGATGGAGGGGAGTGATTCTTCCCCTCTATTTGGCACTGAGGCGGCCACATCTGGAGTCCTGTGTCCAGTTTTGCCTGTCCCCTCCCCCTTTCAGAAAGGATGTGGACACATTGGAGAGACTCCCTGTGGAAAGCAATGAAAATGGTTGTGGGGCTGGAGGACATGACTGGTGAGGAGAGGCTGAGGGAACTGGGCTGATTTAGTCTGGAGAAGAGAGAGAGGGATTGAACAGCAGCCTCACCTTCCTGCAGGGGGGCTGCAAAGAGGATGGAGCTGGGCTGTCCTCAGTGGGGGCAGATGACAGGACAAGGAGCAATGGGCTCAAGTTGCAGCAAGGAAAGTTTAGGTTCAATATTAGGAAAAACTTTCTCATGAGGGTAGAACAGGCTACCCAGAGAGGTGATGGAATCTCTATCCTTGGAGGTTTTAAGACCTTAGTAGAAAAAGCCTTGGCTGGGATGATGTAGTTGGGGCTGGTCCTGCTTTGAGCAGGGGGTTAGACTAGATGTGACCTCCTGACGTCCCTTCCAGGCCTCATTGTCTATGATTCGGGGGTCAGATGAGTGGAGGGGAGTTGGCACATGGCCAGCCCTTGGTTGTAGCTGTATGCTGGTGCAATCTAGCCCATGCAGCTCCCTAAGGGTCCAGAAAATTGAAATCAGGAGAGCAGTGGCAGCATTAATTATCACTCCCCTGTTGCCAGATTTCCAGACCTTGGGGAGGCCCGCTGGCTGGATGACACAGCTCTGTAAGCCAGGTCTGTCTGAGCACCCCTGTTTTAGTCAAACTAGTCAGCATCACGTATGAAGAGAAGAAATGGGCTAGGCTTCATTCCTGAGTCAAATTAGGTATGAGTAAAAATCAGTTGTGAGCATTGCCTTCTAAATGTCCTGTCCTGCTCTGCTCTGCACCACATTTGGTAAATGAGAAGCTGTGCATGGTGGATGTCTTCTGGAGGTTGTGTGCGTGTCCCCCACCCTGTGGACTGCGATTTCAGCAGTGCATTACCAGTCCCTTGTGTTGACCACAGTGGATTTCATCGTGTTTTAGAAGCAGTCCAGGTTGGCAAAAACAATATAGGATGAGATTTTTTCATAAGCATTGGGCATTGGCTTTAACTGCCTTCTGTAGGAATGAATGGTAAAATTCTCTGATGTCAGTAGAAGTGGTCAGGTGGTGGGTTCTGGAACGCTCCTCCTTTCAGCCCCACAGAAGTGCTGTAGGCATTTGGCAACTTGCAGGAATCTCCTTTAGACTCTGCTGTGGGTCCTGTTTTGACTAGTAAAATTCATTTTTACTGTGGACCAGGGAGCAGAGTGCACTGTGCTGGGCAGTGTACAAAGTCACCATCACAAGGAGTTTACTATGGAGATGAGACCGAGAGGGTGGGAAGAGGTGCAGCATGCAGAGTGAAATGTGTTTCATCTTGCAGAACGCCTGAGGTCAGAAGATGGACAGCCAATGGTACTGAAGTTAAAGGACTGGCCTCCAGGGGAGGATTTTAGAGACATGATGCCTACAAGGTAAGGAATCTGGAGCAACAGTGCTAACAGGGGATCCTGACTGCTTTACAAGCAGGACCGTTCTGTTGGCATTGCATTGTTCTTTGTGTGCTCTTCCTTCCCTGTGACCTGAAAGGGTCTTGGCTCTTCTCTTCCTGTGTAGGTTTGAGGATTTGATGGAGAATCTTCCTCTCCCGGAGTATACCAAGAGGGACGGCAGGTTAAATCTGGCCTCTAGGCTGCCAAGCTACTTTGTACGTCCTGATCTGGGCCCAAAAATGTACAATGCCTATGGTATGTAGGAACAGAGCTGGAGATGAGCTTGTGGCTGTGCTTTATTTCATTTTGTATATCCTCAGAACTGGAATTTGTATGGCAGGAAAGCATTAGCTAAGTCTGAGAACTTACCCTAGAGGAGGTTGAGTCATCTTACTGGATCAACACTAAGAGATGTCCACGTGCTGCTTTTTCCTCCATGAATGCATGTACACGTACACACCAGTAAACTTAAAACCTCCCTATAAATTATTACCATAATGTACTTTATATTCTCTAGTGTGTGTTTATATGAATATATGTTATATTATAGTATATATTACATTATAATATAAATGATATTTAGCTGTTTTCCATGATCGAGTTAAAGCAGTTTTGGTGACCTCAGACTGAAAGACGGATTGCACCCTATTATTAGACTTAAGTATATATTTTTAGCCTTGTAAGATAAATTGTGTGTGCAGCAGATTGGATATCAGTGGAGGGAAATGTGCCAGAGCATGTGCCCTGAATAAGCATCCTGAAGCATTGTGAAATTTACAGATGACAATTTCTTCAGGGATTAAAAGTAATTAGCATTTAATGATTATTTTTCAAAACATCCAAAACTATCGGCACACATGCTTTGTGGATGTAATCTTTCTAAAATATGAAGTTATTTTCACTGCACCTGATGGACAGAAGTAGAATGGAACAATTTGAAGTTATAACAGCTTGAATCATGATAGAAATGGTGGGGGGAGGGGGGGCGGTGGATGCTGGTTGTTTTTAACCAGTTATTTAAAGTAGGTTGAGGCCTCAAACACTTCACTTAGTTGTTGCTTTAAAGGAAAAAACAGTTTGGATCTCTCTCAATGTTGCAAAACTATTTTAAGCTGGTGACCCTGCAAATGGTGTCTCCACTGCAGGTGTGTGGAAGGAAACTGTTCTTATAATTGAAGGGTGAACTGTAGAAATGTTGCTTAAAAACTAAACTTTGTAAAATCTTTTTTAATTGAGCCAGCTTCCTTTGGGGATGTTGGTTTATAAAATATGTGCTTAAATCTACCCCGGTCACTGAATTAGAATTCAGGAATTGCTGCATGAAATTCTGTGCCTGCTAAGCCAGTGAGACTTCTGGCTTTAAAAATGTGAAACCCCTGTGAGGTTCTGAGAAATCAGTTTCTTTACTAGAGACGTCACAAGTATTATACAATAGGGGGATGAAAATGGGATTATGATTAATGTGGCTGTTTCAAGTCTTTTGTTTTTGGTGCTTTAATTTAGGCAGGTAGCAGAACCAACTTCTGCAAGCTGTATGTTAAGGCAACAGTTGCCTTAAATGTGCAGTTAACACCCTGATGTGACAGGCTTTAGACAGTAAGAAATCATAGTCCTTGCCCCAAAGAGCATGTAGTTTAGTCAGACAATGTACTAGATGTAGGAAATGATGCAACAAAAAAGCAATGAATACTAGTGAAAGCTAACTTGTTTTGTCTGCTTCCAGTTTTTTTGTACCATCTTATGTGCATGGGGAATGCACAGACAATGAGCACATTTTTGTTTAAATTTTTTCTTCTTTTAAAAATCAGAATTTGTAGGACTTCTGCATCATATGTTGCCTTCCAGAAGTAAAAATTAATACTTCAGTGTTGTATCTGACTGTTAAAAAGTGTTGTCACCAAAGGGTCAACCCCTTTATTTTGGCATCTGTTAAAAGTAAAAGGCAAAAATACCTTAAATGTCTTTCATCAAAAAGCAAATATTCAGTACCTTACTCAATGTGCTTACAGGCATGTCAAAGTAAAAGAAGGGATTAGGAAAAAATATTTCATCGCTGTATGTTGCAACAGTAATGAACACAAAGTACTACTTCAAATTTCTTTGTGTTCATAATGTTTTTCAGTTTAAAAAAGCTAGGGAGCTGTAGCTCAGGTCTCTAAATATGTAGTTTTGATTTTGTACACCGTTTCAGGGATGATGGGAGAAACCAAAAGTAAACATGCATTAGGAAGCCCCTGTTCTTGCAAAAAGAGCTTTGTTTGTTCTCTTCACAGGAACTTGGATCTTGTTTGTCTTACAGTGTTGGTCTTTCACACTGTCCTTTTTCTTAGGGTTGATAACTGCGGAAGACAGACGTGTTGGTACAACCAACTTACACTTGGATGTGTCTGATGCCGTTAATGTCATGGTGTATGTTGGGATCCCCATTGGCGAAGGGTCCCATGATGATGGTAATGTTTTGGAAATGTTTTACTGTCCTATGAAAACTGCGCCGTGGAAAGAGGAATGTGTATGTGGGCTTCCAAGTTTCTTTAAAGAGTCTTGCAACTTTGGCTAGATGCAACAAGTCACCTTGGAAATGTAGGCTGTATCTTCAGTGAACATTCACAAGTATAGAAAGTAATCTGTTCTTAAGTAGTGCCTTTTTCACTAATAGTTCAGAATGTTCTGTGAAACCAGTGGCAGTTTTGTGGGGGGAATTAAGAAGAGAACTGAATGGGAGGGGAAGGAAACCATTGTACCGTTTTTCAAATATTTGAGAAATAAGGATTGGCTGGATTTGAATGTTTTATGACCAAGTTTTTAGATTGCTTCCCAGTCAGTTAGTGACTGGTATGAGTCCAAAGATTATGATGTTAATTTCTGTTTATGTATTGGATATAAAAGGCCTGTGATTGTACTCAGCTTTTTGTGGGGATCTTCTTTGCAGAGGTGCTGAAAACAATTGATGAAGGAGATGCTGATGATGTAACAAAGCAGCGAATCCACGAAGGGAAGGAAAAGCCTGGAGCTCTGTGGCATATCTATGCCGCCAAGGATGCTGAGAAGATCCGTGAACTTCTGCGGAAGGTATATTGATGACAAAGAAGGCTTGTGTCTTACTGTTGTCCAAGAAAGGTTCATCTATAGGGACTTGGAGGATTCAGGTTGAATCTTGTGCAGTTGATGTTCCTTACCACAAAAATATTCACCTGCAGAAATTACAACCACTCTGCGAATGTGACTGAATGGAATTGTGTGTATGGCTAGTCATAGGATCATAGGAAAGGAGGACTGGAAGGGATCTCATGGGGGCATCTAGGCCAGCCCTCTGCTTAAGGCAGGATCATCCCTGACTAAACCATAACAGTCAAGTGCTGATTTAACCTGATTTTGAAAATTTCCAGTACCGGAGATTCCACAACTTCTCTAGGTAACTTGTTCCAGTGCTTGGTGACCCTTATAGTCAGAAAATGTCTCCTAACTTGCAACGTAAACTTCCTTTGCTGCATTTTGAGGCCATTGCTCTTAGTCCTGTCCCCTGTAGCCACAAAGAAAAGCCTATCTTTGTCCTTGAGAAGACTGAGCTTCTGAGCATGGAGAAAATATAAATGATTAGCCCATGCTAGCATCTCAAGGATAGATATGGAAGGGATATTTATTAGTACAGATGCCATTGCCTGGAAACCCTTTATAGTCTGTGCTGCTAGTATTTCTCATTGTAGCAGCTTAAAATCATATTTGTCCATGTCAGGGTTGGTTCAGAATGCTACGTGAGATGGGATAAGTACTGAACCTTGCTATCTGTGGATGTGTTTTGTATTTTTGCATTAGGTTGGAGAAGAACAAGGTCAAGAAAATCCCCCAGATCATGACCCAATTCATGACCAAAGTTGGTACTTGGACCAGACCCTGCGTAAGCGTCTTTATGATGAGTATGGTGTACAAGGCTGGGCAATAGTACAGTTCCTAGGAGATGCAGTGTTCATTCCTGCAGGTGCACCCCACCAGGTAAGCATAGTGTCACAGATGATAAAGAACATTACAGCCAAGTTTGTTTCATCTCCCAAAAGCACCCTGAAATATGACCACTGACTTGAGCCCTTCGGTTTTGGAGAACAGTTGCTACAGAAATCTGTTTGTAACCTTCTTATCAATGTGATGCTTGAGTACAATTTAAACAACTGAATAAGTAAGCGTAGTGGCATCACGGGAGCAGGTGTGTAACTAAATTACTGGGAGAAAATTAAGAAAATGAACACTTAGACTGAATATTAGGAAAAACTTCCTGACATTGAGATTTCCTTAGGCTCTGGACCAGACTCCCAGTGGAGGTGGTAGAAGCTCCATCACTGTAGTCATCTAACTCTATGGTCAGCCAAATACCAGAGAATCTTCTGTAGCAAGCAGTCCTGCATCTATAGGGAGAGAGGTTGGCTGTCGCTCAGTAGAATGTTTGCACTTCTGACATGAGACTAATTCTGTGAATTGTTCTGCGTGAAACTGGGTAGCTTCAGTCTCTGGTAGCTAGGTGAGCAGGAACCTACAGTACATGGAATTCTTCTGTATTAATTCTATATTGGGTCATTCAGCTTTGCTGTATCTAACATCCACTGCTATAATGTTTTGGGGTTTTTTAGGTCCATAATCTGTACAGCTGTATTAAAGTGGCAGAAGACTTTGTATCTCCAGAACATGTAAAGCACTGCTTCCGCCTGACTCAAGAGTTCAGACATTTGTCTAACACTCACACGAACCATGAAGATAAGCTGCAGGTAACTGTCAGTCCATCTTGGGGGAAACATTTCTGTGCTGACTGGTGGCTTGAAGTCTTTAAAAGAAATGTCGTTACTAGTCTGAATAGGCCTGATTTTGTCTGAGCAAGACTGTTATGGAGGTTTAGGATTTTTCCCAATTGGTGGCAAGAATGGGTGGTGATCATGATTTTGTGTATATATGACAAAGGAACTAACTTGTATGAGTTAGTCTTTAGACTATCAGGTAGAAAGGGTGTTGAAGAGATTTGTGTGAGCACGTGTGCTTTAGGATGAAGCTATGGCAAGTAATTAGGCAACTAGCCCAGGGTAAAGGTACTAAGAGACTAATGAACTGAAAAGATGTCTGTTCCTCGTTGCTCTCCTTTTTTTCTCTGCATTGGAAAAATGTTTAATACAAAAGGACTGGCTTAAACAGAGTTGTTTAAGCCTCTTGTTCTGTGCTGTAGTGAGAGCAGCAATTAGAAATAAGACAGACATCTATAACAAATGGAAAAAAGGAAATAAAAACCATAAATTAGAAATTAAGTATAGAAAATTAATAAGGGAAGCCAAGAGTCTTGGGAAAGATCCATGGCTGGCAGGGCTTAGGAGACTTTTTTTTTTTTTTTTTTTTTAAAATTTTACAACCCAAAAAAAAAAAAAAGC